ATTCTAAACTTTTATTACTATTATATTCATGATACTTGTACATCTTCTTCATTATCTAATTGTTTGTAAATAACCTTTTGTAGTTCACTGGAAAAAAGACTTACACGGAAACCGAACTTGATGAAGTGCAAGTTGAATGGATTAATTTCGTACTAAAGAATATGAGTTGAAATCCAATGTAAGTATGATATAACTTCCGTTCTGTAAATTACTAATCAACAACTTCTTTAGTTGGTAAAGAATATATAATCACTTCAAGATTTCATTTTAGATTTGTTGATTCTATGTATATTTGTTTTTATGACTTTAAAATATCTGCTCATACATTGAAGATTTTCATTTTGGATTTATTGATTCTATGTATATGTCATATTTATATATGGTAATCCAAACATTTTATATTAGTAACAATCAAAATTGTTATTTATTTTCTATTGATGCAGGAGATGAAGAGTCAGTGTGATGAGAAAATGTTCGATTTTGTCTTTTGTAAGTCTCTACCAAAATATTAAGTTTATTTATATGCTTCTAAATTAATTTGTGTTTTTATTTTTCAAGTCAGAAATTTCTTGGAGAAATGCAAAATATGGTCAAAGAATTCAACAACTTAGTTTTTTCAAGTTTTTTTTATTTTTTAATATATGTAAGCATAGTTAAAAACTTTTTTCTAATTCCTTTGTATACACTTTTCGAACATTTAACTTTCATTTATGAAATATATGATGTTATTCCATTCAATATATGGTTGTGATTCAAAATATAGTATATAGTGTGTATTACATTATTCAAATGAGTATAACATGTGAATATTGATTATTCTTTAAATATGTCAAATTTTTTTTATCACAGGTTTTAAATGTTATTAATCACACTTAAAAGATGTGATCTAAATATTTTTAATCACACTTAAAAGGTGTGATCTAAATATTATCAATCACACTTAAAAGGGATGATCTAAATGTTTTTAATCACACTTAAAAGATGTGATTAAAAATGACCCCTTTTAATCACACTCCAAAAGATCACACTTTAATAAAATTAAAAATGTGTGATTAAATAACAAACATCACACAAAAAAAAGTGTGATCTTTATCTATTTTTGTAGTAGTGTGCACATGCGAAACGTCGAATAATATTAAAAAAAAAAAAATTTAAAATCGCCGCACATGTGGCCTGGGCCCCACACGTGCGGGAACTTTTCTGAATCCAACTCCATGCCTGCTTTATATGCAAGTGCGTGGCTTGGTGCGGGGTGAGTCTGCTCGTGCGTGGAACAATCCCGCATGTGCGTGACAACGTTCAACATTAAAAAAAATAAAAAATAAAAATAAAAACCTACAGATTTTGTTTTGTTTGTTTATTTATTATTATTATTTTAATTTATTTACTTATTTCAATAAATAAATAAATAAAATAAAATAAAAATAATAATAAATAATAATAAAATAAATGTACAATTTTATTTCTTTATTTATTTTTATTTCCTTATTTTATTTACATATATAAAAAAATAAAAATCTGATTTCTTTGTTCAACTTATTTTATTTATTTTATTCTATTTATTTTATTTTCAAATTTTTTTTTTTTATCAAAACTTATCTAACCTAGACCCACTTTTCTCCCCATCACTCTCACAGATTTTGTCTCTCTCTCTCTCTACCTCTCATCATCTACCTCTCTCTTTCTCACAACCCCACAAACCCCATCAACTCATCATATCCCCACCATCACCAACTTCTTCTTCCTTCTTCTTTCATTAACTCTCACCCATCATTCCTTCTTCCTCACCACCATCTCACCACCGGCATCACTATTTCCTCTCTGTCCGTCGAATCTCCGGTGACCACCATTTTTTCCGGCGAATCTCCATTCTTTCTCCCTCTTTCTCCACTTTTTCAAGATAAACTTTACTTTTTGTTTAGATTTGTGGGTGTAGGAGTAGAGAAATAGAGTTTTGTTTTTATTTTTGTTCAAATCATGATCTATGGCTCATCTTTAAAAAAAAAAAAAAAGTTTATTTTTGTTTTGTTTTGTTATTTTTATTATTTGGCTTGCTTTCCATAGTTTAGTTCATGCAAATAATTTTGTTCTGATAGTTTTAATTATTCAATCATTAGTTACTTAAATAAAATAGCCCTATTTAAAAATAAATAAATAAATAAAATAAAATTCCTGTTTAGTTTTTTTGTTTACTTCATATGTTATGTTATGTTATTTATTTAGTTGCTTATTTTTCTGTTAATTTTATTACTTCATTCTTTACTTGATAGTTTAGTTCTGTTAGTTTAATTATTTAGTCATTAGTTATTTCAATAAAATTGTACTGTTGTTCAGTAGTTAATTTAATTTAATGTCATTTTTATTCATTTATTTATTTCTTTTCGTTTTTATATAAATACATACAAAAAAAAAAAATTCTAATACCTAGCTTTTCTAATTCAGTGTATTGTCCATCTATTTATTTAGTTGTTTAGATATATTCTATTATCTCAGTATTATTTGTTAGATTAATTCAATACTTGTCAAAATGTTAATATGTACGTTTATATTATTCTATTTTATTTTGTTTTTTGTTAAAAAAAAATAAAAATAATAAGTAAACATAAAAAAAAATGATGAGAATTGCATGTGGTACATCAGTGGGCAGACTTGTGCTTTAATATTTTATTTGATTCTCATGCTGGTTTCACAAGTATATGTGTCTATTGTTGGTGTGTGCAGGACATGAGTCGGCGGATATCCGCTCGGGCCTCCAAAAAGACCAGAGGTTCCACCTCCTCGACGCCACCGTCACCACCATCCTCGCGACCACCATCGGTTAACTTGCCACAACCGGAGTGGGCTTCACGCCCACTTCACAAGCTCACACAATTCCAACTCGCCTATTTTCAGAATGACCTAGTCATCTCGGGTTATTAAGCCTGTAGCCTTTTTTGGGTTCGTAGTTTTTTTAACTCGAGTTATTAAGTCCGTAGGGGTATCTTTACACCTAGTGTCCTAAAACCATCTAGTTTGGGAGTTATTGGCCCAATACTTGCTACATGGGTTAATTAGAAAACTTAAGGGATTTAGACATTGCACAGTTAAAGAAAAATAAGTAGAATGACTTGTTCGGATTCGTAGCCTTTTCAACTCGAGTTGTTAAGCCCGTAGGGGTGTCTTCACACCTAGTGCCCTAAAACCGTCTGGTTTGGGAGTCATTGGCCCAATGCTTGTTACATGGGTTGATTAGAAAGTTTAATGGATCAGGACATTGCACAGTCATTTAAAAAAAATAAAAAATAAAAAATTTGAGAATCTTGACTGCAACAGTTTAGTTTTTCTGTATATGTTGGGTGTTATTATGAGTTACACTGGGCTTATATAGTGGACAGTTAACTAATATGGAGATTGCACTTTACACCGAGGGCACTGATGATTTGTCTACTAGTATGCACAAGTACAGGGGACTTTACTTTTGTATTAACTGAATTGTGGTTTTGACTCAATAGATTCCTTCATGCTTGTCCACTGTGCTTTTAATGACTCATTATGTCTTAATATCACACTGTAGTGGCACATAAGTTGATTGTTAGGTGGAGTAGTGTGGTCAATTGTTGGGCATATATGAATATGTTAATGTTTGTGGGTATCATTTTTGGAAACTTTCACGAGACTTTACTCGTCTACTTGGGGTAACTTTGTGGTTTAAAGGCTTGTTGCGTATGCTAAATGCAATCGTTTTCCCACAAAAGAGGAAATAACTAGATTTTGTTTAATTTACTTTTATTTTTATTACTTGCTTGAGGACTGGCAAGTTGTAAGTTGGGGGATGTGATTAAGGCCGAATTGTATAATATTAAGGCCGTTAATTAAGATCTTTTAACTTTACTTGCTTGTCAAATTGTATATTTTATGCGTGTTTAATATCAATCAAGTTGTACATAGTCGGAGCATAAAATGGGCAAAAATACAGAATTTGGAGAGAAAATAGCTTCCCGCACGTGCGTTGACTTTTCTTGGAAAACGAGTCCGATGTTTTAAACCTGTTTGAAAGGCAGCAGAAGTATAAATAGGCAAGAAAGAGGCTGGATTAGGGTTCTGAAATTAATTCCAAGAAAAGAGAGGCTAGGATTAGGAGAGAGAGAAGGATTCTCAAGCTTTCAAAACAACTTCCATGGGGGCTTCCATCTCTCTCATCTTTTCCATCTCTTCCCACTTCTTCATAAGTGGCTAGGTTATTTTTTTCTAGGGTTTTGATGAAACCCTAACCATGTAATTAGATTTTCTTTTTGATTTTTAATTATGTAAAGGTTTGAACAATTGTATGGTGTTTTAGAAGTTTCTTATATATATTTTCCATTGTTTCTTCAAGTATTCGGCTTTCTGTGATTGTTGAATGTTTTTCATACAATAGTTTTCTATTCTTTCACATTCAATGTATGAGACGAACCATACTACGAGGGATGAGTAGTGTCGCTACCTTAGTTTAGAGTGAACGATTCGTACTACTTGAGATGATTCGTACCTATACATTGAACGTGATAATTTTCTTGTTAAATGCTTTGAACTTGTAGTTGCGAAGCATTATTCCGTTCGAATCGTAACATAATTGATTTCAATTTGAAACCCTATTTATGCAACCAGTGGTGAACTCATTGCCCTAGGATTTTTCTCAAAAATTAATATTTCGAACCCTAATTTTTAATTGTCAATTTAATTTCTTAATTTCATTTAATTCCTTTTTAGTCATAAAATCTCTCAATCATTTTAATCAAAATTAATTTAGGAATTTAGCGATTAAATTAGTTTAGTTTCATAATTGTCCCTGTGGATCGATACCTGGACTTGCCATTATTCTGAAAGAATTTGGTATAGTTTAGTGTTTATTTTTTATGTGTGTAGCGAGCCATCAATTATTTAAGTGTACCTAGAAAGATAATCTAGGAAAAACATCCAACATATTGAGAGTAATTTATAATTTTAAATAATTTAATAAGGTGTATTAAAAAATTAAGCGCATTTAATGATTTTTTGGGTATGTAGTATTTGCTCTTTTGAGTTTAATATATAATATAATACATGGACCATCTGCCCACATTATATTAAATTTATTTTTTGTTAGGGGGAAGGCCTACTTACGGTAGCTTGCTGCTTACTTGGGCTTTTGAGCGTCGTCTGGGCTTCGCACTACTGCCTCGGCCTGGTGCACCCAAACCCAGAACAGTTCTAAAATTTGTGGCATCAGTTGCTTTTTCATGGCTTTAAATATAACCCTCAACCTCCATTATTTATTTTGAGAAGAGTTAAATAAGTTGGTTTTTTGTTTATTATAAAAAGATGTGTAAAAATTAGGGAAATGATGTGATATTTAAATAAGTCAAAAAGGCAATAAGTTGGCTTATAAGTTATAAAAATATTAAATTTTTTTGTTTGGTAAAAATTAAAGTTCTTTTTATAAAATTGGGTTGTTTTAGAAATTAATTATTTTAGTTATTAATTTTTTACAAAAAATTGTGCAAAAAAGTAGATTTTTTTTTGTAAAAAGATGTAACATAGTAAAGAGAAAAATGTACTTTTTGACTATTTTATGTGGTTCTTAAAGTTGGCCATATTTGTTCAAATTTGCTAACTCAATTAATTTGCATTTTAAGAAATTGGTTAAAAATTGACTTTTTAATTTTTTTTGGCTTTTTTTGAAAAAATATATATATAAAAAAATAGAACGATGATAGGACTCAAAATAAATTTTAACATTTAAGCCAACTTCCAAAATTGGCCCATTTGCCATTCTGCTGCCTAACTCCGTTGATTTAGAAGTCATAAGTAATTATTTTGTCAAAATGGGTCGATTTCAAAGTCAATAATTACATGTGGATGAGATTTTTTGGCCTAAACTCTTTCGGTTAAATTTCAAAGCTATAAGATGGCAGATGAGATGAGATGAGATGGTAGATGATATGCAACCCGCAAGCATTTCCACTTGACATGTGCTTTTAAAGGGTATATTAAAGACTCATATATGAAAATATATATTAAAATTTTTAAAATAATTTAATTCTTACACAACCTCAATGGGAATCATAAACAAGACATATCTCGTGTATATGGTGGAAATATGTAATAAAATATAAATTTTTTAAAATTATTTAATTCTTAAACAACCTTGATGGGGATCGAGGCTTTCAATTTGGGCCTCCTTTCCTCCCGGTACATGAGTTAAAGAAAAGTGACAAACTCCGTTTGCTTTAGTTTTGAGAATCAATTTTAAAATATAATTCTTTTAAAAGAGTTGATAATATTTGAAAATTTGTTTGATTACATATTTTGAAAATAGTTTTGAAATGATTTGTAATTTTTTTTTTAATAGTTGAATAAATGGGTGTTCAAAAATTGATTTGAAAATCCAACCAAACACAACAGATTTTTTTGGGACTATGTAAGCATATAATCTCTCATTATTAAACAAAACGGATATGATTCTCTTCATCCACCTTTGTCATCTAGTTGTCATTAAATAGTTGATCCAAATATCACAATTTAATAATTAATTATTTTTTTTAGCTGTGGTCTTTAGATAAACCGTTGAATGGACGTTGGGAAAAAAAAATGTTGGAGAGGAAGACACAATTAATGTGATGTTCCAAAAAATATGAAAATATGCTAAGAATGGTTTTATGGTCTGCAAGAAAAGGGGATTTTAAACCACCCATTTGCCCTCTTTCTTTGCATGATAAAAAGAGGAAAGTGGCATTCATTGTGGGCATTCCCAGGGAGGAAAAAAAGAAAAAGAAAAAAAAAGGGCCATTCAAGGTAATTGAAAAGAAAAAAAGAAAAAAGTAAGAGAAGAGTATAGAAAAAAAAAAAAAAAAAAAAAAAAAAAAAAAAAAGAAGAAAAAAGAAAAAGAAAAAGAGGGGTAAAGAGAAAAATAAAGAATAAAAGAAAGAAATAATTAAAGAATGAAGATTGAGGAAGGGATTTTGTTAAAAAAGATAGAAAAAAATAAAAATAAAAATACAGAATAATTTCAGGTATTATTTTTTTCTCTCTCTCTCTCTCCTTTGAGAATTTCTATACTATTTTGTGAAATCTGTTTCGAGTATTTATTTTACGGGGATAAATCCAAATGAGTGCATTCATAATTTTTCTAATCCAAATGTTGAGTTGTTTATTCATTCAAATCAGACCAAAAATTATAAGAAAAATAGGTGGTAGCTCGAAATGGGTGAGGGTCGAATGGCCCGAAATTTGACAACCACGTCGTTTTGCGATTTTCTTCTTCTTCTGCGTTGAACTTCGTTGAACACAGGAGAACAGAGGGGAAGAGGAGGAGAGAGGGAGAAAGAGAGAGGAGAGGAGAGAAGAGCTCATCGCCTCCGCCCGCCGTCCTCGTCGCAGCTCGCAGCCCGTTCGTCGCCTCCGCCCCCCGTCTCCGCCTCCAGCCCTAATAATTCGCCCCCCTCCAGTACTTCTCCTCCTTCCTTCTCCTCCTCCCTCCTTCTTTCTTCCTCCTCCTCCTCTGATTTTCTACTTCTGAAAAAAAAAAAAATGACACAAAGGGAGGGGATGAACGGAGCTGTGTGTGGGTGTGTGTGAGTTTTCCAGAGGGAGGGGATGAACAGAGGGAAGGTGGATGTACAAAGAAAAAGAGTGAGTGTACAAAGCAATTCGGGCCTTTCGACCCATGCTCCTTCAAGCTACGAAATGGGATTGAAATTATAATAAGACATCTACCCATTAAAAGTAAAATAAAAAATAAAAAGAGTCCTGATTAGATGGGTTATATATTCATGAAAGGGAAATTCTTTATCGAATCATGTTTGGATTGATGTCATAGCCGACCTACCTAGGTAAATTAATAATCTGACTCTAAGCCCTAAAATAAAAAACAATAAATTACTTTGACTATTCTTAAAGGTTGAAATAAATATAATAAATTTATCAAATTTAACATAATTATATTAATTTTGATATTAATATTTTTAAAATAAAAATAAAAATAATCAAATAAAATGATTAATGCCATATAAAGTAAAGCATCACATAAAATGCCAAACTGCAACTAGGAAGGACAACATAAGGTTTAAGTTGGCCTGTAATAAACCAATTTATATGACAATAATACGTCCCATTTTTGTGTCCAAGGCATGACAGAAGAGGAGTGGCCAAAATGACTAGAATCTTGAATGCTTTCAGCGGCAACGACAATGGTGGTGTGATTCAAATCTCCAGCGGCTTATTCTTATTGAGTGCCATTGTTATGTCGGTGTCCATAATATCTATGATTCTCTTCATCTGCTTACATGATCCTGAAAAAAATCACAAGAATCGCAAAAATCGACAACGACAAGAACTTTCCATGATGCAAACCTATATGGATGGTCACCACCATCACCATCAAAACCACCATCACAATGATGGTTCAGATACAATCCACACGAATACAGGGGAATATCATCATCAACATCACTGTGACCATAGCTTTGGCGCATGAAGTACATACACATATTAGCCATATACGAGGTGAATCCGTAGCATGTCACTACTACTCAGGTGCTTAGTTAAAATTAGTTTTTTCATTTTTATTTTATTTTATTTACAGAGCTATATGCCTACATCACCAGTTTTAAGGGTATAAATAGATATGATTGTTGTAACATTACTGTGATATATCACAAATTTCTCTGTTCTTTTAACCAATAATTTTTTTCTCTTTTTATAAGACATCCAATGAAATTAACATTGTTAAGATTAATTGTACACATAGTTCTTGTATCTTGTCATTATATTTTCAATTAATCAATTTTGTTATTTAATTTTTTATGTTTTGTCAGTTTAATTCAATTCATAATATTTGCTAAGAAATTTGAAAAAAATTTAGTACACAAAATGGTTCATTCAAAAGAAAATAAACGATTTTTAAGTGGACACCAATACCTCAATTACTTTGAGTAGAGTGAATTGGCTATTTGTGACGGTACAAATTGAATTAAATTATCGTAATGTAAAAATTTTAAGAACAAAAATAATACAATTAAAACTATAATGATTAAAATGGACACAAATGACAATCTCCAGGGAACATTGGATTTTTGTGCAAACGAATTATTGATAATTGTAATGACTAACAAAACAACATAGGATACATGGCTCAGCATTTGTTTTTCTGTTCTTTGTCTGTTTTTCTTTTTTAAAAGTTTGACGTGCCTACATAACTGTTCACTTCTCTTCATCTTTGGATTTTAGCACCATCTTAATTTTCCGTGTCACATTAAGAATTACTGTTACTTTTTATTTTTATTTTTATTTTTATTTTTGTTTTGTTTTGTTTTGTTTTGTTTTTTATTTTATTTTATTGATGTATTTCAAATATATGGTTGTACAGTGAGATTTTTATAATATTTCAAAATTCTTATTAAAAATGCTGTTGGATAATTTTCATTCTATTTAAGTAGATTAAATTCTTTTGTGTACTAAATAACAATTAAAATATAAAGAAATAAAGGAAATGAGAGAATTTATTTGATTACAAAAATCAAACTAGAAATAAAATAAAATAAATAAAAACAGATTTTATTTTGTTACAAAAATAAAATTAAAATCTGATTTAAATAAATAAATAAAACAGAATAATAAATTAAACAACTTACTTGATTAATTTCTTTGAATAATTATCTGATCAAGTCCAGTGTTTGACAATGTGTCCTTAAAACAGATTCGTCCTCTCTACGGTACTTTCAGAATTTGGACGTCTATCTCCCAGGATAAAATGATCTACTATAAACAATAGCAGCACTACAAATTGTTTGCCTAACGAACACACTAAGTGTTTATACTCTCTCATAGAAGAAAATAATGCAACAATATGAAAAGAATATTTACAGAATTATAAAGGACGAAATTATTAGAGTTACAAAATCCAAATGAGGGTTGTCTTATTTATAGATGGATTGGTGGCTATAGATTTTAAATTAAACAGGTGCAAACCTATTTGAACAGGTATGAAACCTGTTTTGGTTTTGAATTTAAACAGATTTGAATCTGTTGGGTTCACAATTCAAACAGTTATTTTACCAAAAATAAAATTAAATTCAAATGTTTTTGGACCAAAAGGATTAGTATTAGGCCGAACAAGCCCAACCCAACCACACACCCAAGCCCAGCTCGGACGGCTGGTGGTGGTGGCGCACGTGTGGTGATTTTTGGGTCCAATGTG